ATGGCAGTGGATGACACAGTTGTCCGTGATGCGGAGCGAGCGCAGCGTCCGCGCCTGGTCCTGCAGCAGCTGCCCGCGGTAGATGAGCTTCATCTGGCTCTCCTGACCCGGGAAGTATTTGCTGTGGGAGGAGGGCAGAGGTTGGAGGTGACAGAGAAGGGGTTTGTGGATACACCTGAGGTTGGTGGAAATGGGGAGGGGACAGCACAGGGGGACAGCGATGGCACTGCCACCACGCTCCGTCTCTTTTGAACTTGTTTTAAATCCCCCCTCGGTGTTTTTGGAAGAACAAGATGGATAAAATGTCCTCTCTTGTTCTGGTGGGAAGGGGCTGTTTGTACTAGGGGAGCACAGGAGCTGTAGGGGGGTGGGCTGGCAGCCTGGGACAGCTCCCTGTGCCCCCTGTCCCTCGGGACTCACCTTTTGAGGACCCCCACGGTGTCCTCGGGCCGGGCCATCGCCACCTCCTCGGTGTCGTTGAGGAACTTGAGGCGGATCTTGATAAGTCCAGGGCACAGATCCCCCTCCTCGGAGGGTCGGGGCTCAGCCATCCCTTGGGACAAGCTCGGGACATCCAGCAGCTGCTCCAGGCCGGGATCGGGGGTGGTCCCGCTGTCCCCCTGCGCCGCCGGCCCTGCCCCTTCCTCTTCAGTTTTCTCCTCCGCGTTCTCGGGGACCCCGGGGGGCTCTGGGGCTTCTGCCGCCCCCGCGGCCCCCGCGTAGGGCGGGAGGGGCCCGAGGCGGATGACGGCGGCGTCTCCCGTGCCCAGGATCTGGCTGGTGCCATCGGCCACGTACGTGGAGAGCCAGGCCAGCACCAGCGCCAGCGCCAGCACCGCCAGCCCGGCCACCAGTGTCACCTCGTCCCCCACCCCCGGGATGAGGGGGGCGGCGGGGGGCTCCATCTCCGGGATCCCCCCGCTCAGCCTGGGGTCTTTATTCCTTCCTCAACCCCCCCCGTGCCCGGTGTGGATGCCAGCAGGGACCCGTCCGCGGTCACCTTCCAACAGATCCCGGCGCTGCTCCCGGTGACCGGAGACCCCGAGGGACGGGAGTTCCTCACTGCGGGCTGTTCCTTCTCGCTCCCCGGCCGCGCTCCCCTCGCCGGGGCTGGCGGAGGGTCCCGGGGGGTCCCGCAGCCCCTCAGTGCCCAGCCCGGGGCAGCGTCAGCCCATCCCTGACCTGGGCGGAGCGGAGAGATGCGGTGAGAGGGGCGGAGGGCCCGGGCACCGAGGGGCAGACCCGGGCCGGGCCCAGGGGGGCGGGAGGAACCGGGGGGAGCCGGTGGGTCCCGCTGTGTCCCTGCCAGCCCCGGGGGGTCCCTGCTCGTTCCGGTGTGTTCCGGTTGGTCCCTGACGGTCCCGGTGTGCCCCACCATCCCCGGGGGTCCCGGGGTGTCCCGGTTTGTCCCTCTGTGTTCTGGGGGTGTCCCTGCCACCCCCAGGGGGTCCCGCTATGTCCCAGGGGGTCTCGCTGTGTCCCTGCCATGCCCGAGGGTCCCGGTTTATCCCGGGGGTCCCGGTGTTCCCCCCCCCCCCACTCACCGCCTCCCGCCGCCGCCGCCCGCGCGCCGGAAGCGCCACGTCAGACGGCGCCGCCGCCAGGGGGCGGGAGGGGGCAGGTGGCGGGAGCGCGCGCGCGCGTTGCGTCACGGCCCCGCCCGCGGGGCCACGCCCAGTGGGCGTGACTTGTGGAGAAGGGGAGGGACTAGATGGCCTCACCTCCTCTCAGGGGCGGGGCATCACTCCGACGATTTGTGGGCGGGACCATAAGGGGGCGTGGTCAGGAGGGCACGGGGGTTGGGGCGGGGCCTAGGGCTCCGCAGGGAGGGGCCTCGGGAGCCACGCGTGACCCCCATCGCCCCGGGGGGCTGAACCCCCCAACGAGGGCCTGATCCCTCCCCGGGCCAGGAACTCCCCCCGGGGCCTGGTCTGGACACTCCCAGCCCTGGCTGTCACATCCCCAGAGCCTGTCACCCCCCTTTGCACCCCTCACATCCCCCAGGGCCTTTCTGTCACCTCCTTGAGACCTGTGACCCCCTAGCCCTGTCCTTCCCAGTCCTCTGTCCCCCTCAGACCCCTGTCCCCCCTCAGAGCAGCAGCCATTGCTCACCCACTCCCCACAAGGACAGAGACGCCTCGAGAGCCACCTCTGCCACGTCCTTTTATTAACGCCAGCACATGGTGGGGGGGGGGTGTGTCACAGGGAGGGGACACCAGTGGGGAAGCAAGGGCTGCTCTCAAGAAATGACCCCCTCGATGTGCAGCTGGAGGTACCGGTGCAGGGTGGGTGGCAGTGCCAGCCTGGGGACAGCGCTGTGGCAGCGGGCGCCCAGGTGGTTCCGGATGGCCCAGCGTGCCAGGTGCTGCAGCCGCCGCGGCTGCCCCGCCATGCGCACGGCTGAGGCGTAGAACTCCCGGTGCTCCTGGTTTAAGGGGGGGACACAGGGTTCAGCGAGCCAGGACCGGGCTGCAGGGACACCCAAGGACACCCCAGGGCACACCCTTACCTCCCACAGCTCGGGGGGCACGTCCTCTGCCCACCCCTCGGCGGGCGGCACGCGGTCGTAGGTGTTGAGCATCACCTCCAGCGCCGGCGGGTGCTGGCAGCACAGCCTGAGCATCTGCCAGCAGAGCCGTGTCACTGAGGGCCTGGCACAGCCACCGCCACCCCACGAACCCCCACCACCCACCTTGGGGTGCCCGGGGCGGGCGCCGTGGTCGAGCAGGAGCGTGAGGGTCTCCTCGGGGCGCTGGTCCCGGTACTCGTGGACGGCGCGGAGGGCGCAGTCCATGGGGGTGTCGCCGGCGCCGTTGGGGACGGTGGCGTCGGCGCCGTGGCGCAGCAGCAGCCGGGCCAGCCCGGGGTGCCCGTTGGCACAGGCGTTGTGCAGGGGCGTATGGCCCTTGCGCCCCGCGGCCCCCGGCTCGGCGCCGGCCTCCAGCAACCGCTCAGCCACACGCAGGTACCGCTCGGCATCCTCGGGGCGCTCGGCCGCGGCCACCGCGGCGTTCAGGGGGGTCTCACCCTGGTGGGTGCGGCGGGAGGGGTCGGCGCCGTGGTGCAGGTACAGCTCCACGTGGGCCACCAGCCCCTGGCGCGCCGCCACGTGCAGGGCCGTCACCTGCCGGTCACGCGTGCCCAGGTTCACCCGCGCGCCGTGCGCCAGCAGCAGCTCCGCGCACCTGGGGAAGGGGGGGTGAAGGGTGAGGGGGATACTCGTGGGGAGAGGTGGCACCTGGGACACCCCTGGGAATCCCTGGAGAGCCCTGGCACACTTGGAACACCCCCGGGGACTCCCTGAGACACCCTGGAGAACCCTGGCACGTCTGGGACCTCACCAGAGACACCCCCAGGACACCTCAGAGAACCCTGGCTCCCACGGGATACCTCCAGGACACAGGTGCTGCACTGGGGAGCTTCAAACAGGGGCCCCACCAGCATAAGGGGTCTTGGCTGAGCTCTGGGGGGTTTAGAGGCCGCGGGTGTGATTTGGGCAGGTGCCCTCCCATTCCCCAGCACCCCCTGCCCGTACCGCAGGCTTTGGGGGGCAGTGCAGAGGTGCAGCGGGGCCGAGCCCTCGGCGCTCAGCACGTTGGGGTCTGCGCCGAAGGCCAGGAGCAGGCGGGTGCAGTTGGGCTGGGGGGCGGCCGCGCTGTCGTGCAGGGGGGCCCGGCCCCCCACCACGGCGTCCACCGCCGCCCCCCGCAGCAGCAAGTGCCGGGCACAGTCCTCGTAGCCCCGGGCGGTGACGATGCGCAGAGCAGAGGTCTGCTGCTGGCGGGGGCTCAGCACCCACAGCCCTGTTGGGGGGCACGGGGGGAGAATCAGTTGGGCAACCTAGGGGGATGCCCTGAAAACCCACCCCGCCCACCCATAGCTCAGGGGGTTGGTTGTGAACCCCAACATCACCCCACCTCCACCTCCAGCCAGAGAAAACCCTGTGGGGAGTAAACCCTGGGATGGTACCCCCTTTCCCAGAGAATTCTCCGCAGCCCAGCCCTTCCAAACTGGATCCCCCAGCCCTGCTCCCCCCAGCCCACCTGGAGCTGCAGCCCCTTGCCCTGGCTCCCCCTGTTAATTTGAAGGGGGATGAGAAGGGAAGGGAAAAGGGAAGAAGAAAGGAGAAGGGAAGGGAGAAAAGGGAAAAGGAGGGAGAGGGGAAAAAAGAGGGGAAAAGAGGGAAAAAAGAGGGGGGAAAAGGGAGAAGAAGGGGAAGGATGGAGGGAGAAGAAGGAGGGTAGAAGGAGAAAGAGGGAGGAAGAAGGAGGGAGGGAGGGAGGGAGGGAGGGAGAAGGGAAGGACCCCTCAGCCCCATACCCTGCTCCGGCGACCACACTAGCTCCTCGCTGACCATCTCCAGGACCAAATTGGCCGTGGCCTCGTCCTTGAAGATGCTCTGGACTCTCGGCAGGTCCCCGGCGTACAGGGCGTTGTGCACGGCGGGGTCCCGGCAGTGCTGGCGCCGTCGGGGGGGGTTCGGGGGGGCCCGGGACGGCTCCGGCAGGAACCGGCGCGTGGCCCATTCCCGGGCCAAGGCTCTCCGCCGCTCCTCCCGCTCCAGCAGCTCCCGCTGGAGCCGCAGCGAGCGCAGCGCCGAGGAGCTGAAGGCGAAGGTCTCGTGGGCCATGGGCACTCCTGGAGGGCTGGGGGACAGTTGGGGGGCAGTTGGGGGGCAGCGACCGGCCCCCTGCGCCTTGGTGGGGGGGGGGTTATAAATAGGGCTGTGCCCCACACATGGATGTGGAATCAAATCCTGGAGACAGGAGCCCTATAAATAACTCCTGGGCGGTAAACAGAGTCACGGGGTGCTGGGAGTTTAACCTGTTGGTGGGTGAGAGGTGGGGATGTCCCATGGGGGTGGGATTTGGAGACTCCCCAACCCTGAGGGGCTGTGGGACCCCGAGGGGAATGGCCCCTTCTGCCCAGGGAGGAGAGGGAGAGCGAGGACCCCCCAGGGGACAGGTTTGGGGTCCGGAAGGAGGGTGACACACAAGGACACAGGTGATGCAAGGACAAAGCAGCCCTTTAATGCAGGTTTGGGAGTGAGAGGGGAAGTTGTGCCCGGAGGAGCGGGGACAGCACTTACGCCATGTCCTCCCAGGGACCCCCCTGGAACCTCCCCAGCTTTTGGCTCCACAACAAACACAGAAGACACAGAGAGAGGAGCATGCAGAGGTGGCAGGTGCGGCACCTGCTCCTTGGCATCATCATCCTCACCAGGCCATGGCATGGCCCAGCCAGTGCCAGCAGCACCCGGGGTCAGCCACAGTCAGCCTGGGCTGGGGCTGAGAAGAAATCCTCAGGCAGCTCTCCCAGGAGCCCATCCAGGTCATCTGCATGGCACAGCAGGGGGGAAATCCATGAGTTTTACACGGGTATGGAACCACAGAATTGTTCAGTCCAACCATTCCCTCAAGGCCACCACTAACCCATGTCCCCAGGTGCCACATCCACATGGCTTTTAAATCTCTTCCAGGGCTGGGGACTCCACCACAGCCCTGGGCAGCTGTGCCAGGGCTGGACAGCCCTTTCCATGAACGAATTTTCCCAGTGTCCAACCTAAACCTCCCTTGGTGCAGCTTTAGGCCGTTTCCTCTTGTTCCCTGGGAGCAGAGCCCAACCCCACTCTGCTCCCTCCTCCTGTCAGGGAGTTGTGGAGATGGAGAAGGTCCCCCCTGAGCTCCCTTTGCTCCAGGCTGGACATATTATAGAGCCATAGGATCATGGAATAGTTTAGGCTGGAAGGAACCTTAAATGTCAGCTACTCCTACCCCTGCCATGGGCAGGGGCACCTTCTACTATCCCAAGTTGCTCCAAGCCCCGTCCAACCTGGCCTTGGACACTTCCAGGGATGGGGCAGCCACAGCTTCTCTGGGCAACCCCTTCTCTGAGACCCTCCCTCTGCCATTCCAGAGGAGGGGAGTCCCCACCCCATCCCGGTTTTCCACAGGACATGGAGCTTTCCATCCCCTCCCAGAGCGGGTCTGACTCACCCATGTCACATCCATCAGCTCCCACTGGCTCTTCCTGCCTGGGCCCAGGGCTTGGTGGGTGCAGGGAAAAGCCCCCTGGATGCTCCTCTGTGCTGTGGCCACTTGTCCTCGACTGTCCCCAATCCCCAGGGACACCCAGGGGGGGCTGCTCAGGGGGGTCTGGGATTAGCCCAGCCTGGGCAGGGACCTGCAAAACCCAGCAGGGACCAATTAACTGGGAGCCCAGGGGGGATTTATTCATCCTTCCTCCTGAGGGTCTCCACAGCCCAGACCACCCTCGGGGGGGGGGTCCCAGCATCCCCCCAGGGCCACCAGCACTGTCCCCTCCTCACCTGCCGCTGGGAGCAGCCGCCCTCGGGCTCCGGTGGGAAGATCCTGAGCAGGTTGTTGGGGGTGACATTGAGGTAGTGGTTGCGGTGGGAGGGGGAGAAGACCCCCACCTACAAGGGAAGGGAAAGGGGTTAGAGCCAGCTCCAGCTCCTTGTCTGTGGAGGAGTTCCTGCATAACACCCCAAAGTTACATTTTTCCATTTATGACAAGCTCAAATGAAAATTATGGAAGGTATTATGGAATAGGGAGCGAGAAAGGTCAT